TGCAGCAGCAAACATGCAGCAACTGTTGCTGCTGCTTGCTTGAAGCTGTTGCAGCAGCTCCCTGCTGCTCCCCCAACACCGCAGCAGCAGCAGCTGCTACTGCAGGACATCCAGCGATGGCAGCAGCAGCAGCTGCACCAGACGCAGCAGCAGCAGCAGCAGCAGGGCCCAGCTGCTGCTACTAGGGCCCCCATGAACCTCGACCCTGACGCAGCAGCAGCAACAGCAACAGCAGCAACAGCAGCAACCGAACCGACAGCAGCAGCAGCGCAGCGCCTGCAGCAGTTTTCCCTGCCGCTCTTCAGCAGCAAAACGGATCCATCAGCAGCAGCAGCACTTCTGCTGCTTGCTGCTGCGCTGCAGCGAGCCAAGGTGCTGCTGGGTCGCAACAGCAGCAGCAACAGCAGCAACAGCAGGACTGTCGTCTCAGCTGTTGCTGCAGCAGCAAAAACAGCAGCACTGACGAACCGCCTGTCAAGCGGTGCTGCTGCTGCTGCTGCTGGCAGTGGAGCTCCCTTCTCAGCAGCAGCAGGAGCAGCAGCAGCCACTGCAGCAGCAACAACCGCAGCTGCTGCTGCTGCAGCGAGGACTGCTGCGATGCAGCTGCTGCAGTGTTCTGCTGTTTATAAGGTTTTGCTGCTGCGCAGTGAGACGTTCAAAGGAATCGATTTGCTGCTGCTGCTGCGTGCAGCAGCAGCAGCAGCAACAGCAGGAACGCCTTTTCCCTCTGAAGTGAGGCTTAGCTGCTGCAACAGCAGCAGCTGCTGCTTCTGCTGCTGCTGTGGCTGTTGGTGCTGCTGCTGGATCAGCTGCTTCAGCTGCTGCTGCTTCCATATTGTTGTTGTTGTTGCTGCTGCTGCTGCTTTGTCCTCAGTTGCTGCGCTCGCTGCCCGGATTGCTGCTGCTGCACCTGGAGTTTTTGACTCCTCAGCAGCAGCTGCTGCTGCTGCAGCAAATGAAGCTGTCGCGCCTTGGCCGGCCTGCTGCTTCCGCTGCAGCAGCAGCACAAGTAGCTACCGCAGCAACAGCCACAGAAGCAGCAGCAGCAGAACCAGCAGCAGCAGCAGCAGCAGCAGCAGACGAGGTTCAGTGGTGGGAGGTCGCTGTACAGTTGGCGCCCCGCGTGCTGCATCTGCTGCGCAGCGGCTGCTGCAGCACCAGCGATGCTGCTGCAGCATGCTGGCTATACGCTTCGTACGCTGCTGCTACTGGCTTTTGTGCTGCTGCTGCCTGTCGTGTTACTGCTGCTGCCTGTCGTTTCGCTGCTGCTGCCGTGCGTGTTGCTGCTGCTTGCTTTCTAGTTCAGGGTGCTGCTGCCACGTGCTTGTGTTGTTGTTATTGTTGCTGCTGCTGCTGCTGTGCTGCTGCTGTGCTGCTGCTGCTTCTCAGGGAGGACCTGCGCAGCCCGCAGTTTCCATCGGCAGCAATTGTTGCTGCTGTTGCTGCTAGGCTGCCGGAGTTGCTGCAGCAACAGAACGCAAAGACCAGCAACAGCAGCAGCAGCAGCATCAGCAGCAATCTATCTGATTTGTTGTTGCTGCTGCAGACGCTTGTTGCCTGGAGAGCCCCGCAGCCAACTGTTTGGGGGCCGCCGTTGCTGCACAAGCTAGCAGCAACAACGGCAGCAGCTGCAGCAGCAGATGCAGCAGCAGGGCCTACTGCGCTGTCTTTGCAGCAGCTCGCAGCAGCAGCAGGTGCTCTGCTGCAGCTGCAGCTGCTGCAGGGTTTCTCTTATACCCCATTGCTAGCAGATGAAGCAACCTTTGCGGCTTCTGCTGCTGCTGCTGCTGCTGCTGTTGCTACTGCACAGCAAGGACACCAGCGCCCTTCAGGAGGATTTGCTGCTGCAGTTGCTGCAGCGCTGCAGCCTTGGCCTACGGATCCCAGCAGCAGCAGCAGCAGCAGCAGCAGCATAAACCTTTTGAAGGGCATTATTACATGCTGGACGCACTTGGCTTCAGGCCTCACGACAGCAGCAGCAGCAGCAGCAGCAGCAAACTATCAGCAGGAGCAGCAGCTTCTGTCGGCGCTGCTGCTGTGCTGTGCAGCAGCAGGCGTTTTGCTGCCTCGGGGTGCAGCAGAATACCTTGTAAGGTTTCTGCAGTTCCTGTTGCTGCTGCTGTTTTTGCTGCTGCTTCTGTTGCTGCTGTTGCTGCTGCTGCTGCTGCTGCTGCTCACGTGTATCATGCAGAGGCGAGAACGCGTGCCGATGTTGCTGTTGCTTCTCTTGCCGCTGCTGCCGCTGTTTTGCTCTCTGTCTGCTTCTGCTGCTGCTGCTGCTGCATTGTGCTCTGTCTGCTGCTGCTGGTGCTGGTTGCAGCGGCTGCTGCTGCAGCAGCGAGGAGATGCATCAGGCGTGTCGACAGCGCTGTTGCTGCAGCTGCTGCGGAGTGTGCTGCTGGAGCAGCAGCAGCTAGAGGCCCTACCGCTGCAGCAACGGCAGCGAAAGGAGAGCATAAAGGTAGCAGCAGAAGAAGCAGTAGCAGCAGCAGCAGCTGAGCTGCAGCAAAGGCGACTCAGCCTGCAGCAGCGCGCTGAGGCTGCTGCGCTGCTCTGGCGTGTCTCTCAATCCGATGCCCTCGCCTGGTAAGCAGCAGCAGCAGCAGCAGCAGCAGCAGCAACAGCAGCAACAACAGCAACAGTAACAACAACAGCAGCCACAGCAACACCAGCTTCGCTGCTTCGTTGCTTGTCTTGCTTCAAGCAGCACATACGTTCAGCGGCTGCTTTTGCTGCTGCTGCTGCTGTTACTGTTGCTGTTGCTGTTGCTGCTGCTGCTGGCCCTCGGTGTCGTGTTGCTAGTGCTGCTGTTCTCATTACTACTGCTGCTGCTGTGGTTTTTTTGCGTTGGTCTGGGTTTTGCTTCTGCTGCTGCTGCCGCTGCTACTGCTGCTGCTGCTGCTGCTCCCCCTGCTGCTGCCGCTGCTGCTGCTGCTGCTGCTGCTGGGTTGCCTTTGTGTGGTGTTGAGGAGTGGAGAGTTTGTTTGATTGTTTTTGCTGCAGCACTCTCCTTCTCAGCTCACGGCAGCCGGAGCTGCGGCCACCTGCTGCTGCTGCTGCTGCTCCCCCTGCTGCTGCTGCCCCTGCTGCTGCTGCTCCGCCACCCAGTGCTGCTGCTGCTACCAGTCGTACGGGAGCCGCTGCTGCAGTGCATACAGTTGCTGCTGCCCCTGCAGCAGCAGCGGAGGGGGAGGTGTGGCCTCTCCCCAACGCAGCAGCAGCAGCAGCAGCAGCAGCAAGAAGACGCCAGCTGCGGAGGCCTCCTGTGCTGCTGCTGCAGTCCTCGCCTCAGTTAAACAGCAGCAGCGAAGCGAACGATACTAGAGTACACTCTGTGCTGCTGCTGCCGCATGCTGCTGCTGCTAGTTGCTGCTGCTGCTGCTACTTCTGCTGCTACGTGTTGCTGCAGGGGCGCTGTGCTGCTGCTACACCGTGCAGCTGCTGCATGTTGCTGCAGCTGCTGCTACATGCGGCTGCAGCTGCTTCGTGGTGCTTCGGCATGCTGCTGCTGTTGCTGCTGCTGTTGCTGCTGCTGTTGCTGCTGCTGCTGCTCCTACATGCTGCTGCTGCATACCCCAGGGAGTCTGCAGCTGTTGTCTCCTCAGGACTCGATGGAGGACCTCTGGCTGTTCCGCAGCAGCAGCAGCAGCAGCAGGAAGCAACATGAAGAGCTGCAGCAGCAGCAACGGCTGCAGGAGCGCCAGGGCCAACCGGCAGCAGCACCAGCAGCAGCAGCAGCAACAACAACAGCAGCAGCAGCAGCAGCTTGTGTCCCTATGCCTGCCCCCTGCGCTGCTGCTCCCCCTCATTTGCTGCGGCTCAAGGGGCTGCTGCCGTCTGCTGCTGCTGCTGTTGCTGCAGCAGCAGAGGAGGCATCGCGCAGCTTCCTTTCACCCGAAGCCTTGCTGCTGTTGCTGCTGCCTCCCTCAGCAGCAGCAGCAGCAGCCACAGCAAACGCCCCTCAAGGTGCTGCGAGCAGCAGCAGGTCAGGAAGCAGCAGCAGCATCTTCACTAGCAACAGCAGCAGCAGCCACTGCCCTAGCAGCAACAGCAGCAGCAGCTGCAGTAGCAGCAGCCCTGGCACCGGACCCACCAGCAGCAGCAACAATAGCAGCAGCAGCAGCAACAACAACAGCAGCAGCAGCAGCATTAGTGTGCGGGCAATTCGTTGGTGTGGAGACTGCTGGGAGGAGACAGACAATAAAATAAATCTGCACGAGTGGTCTCAGACTCTTAAGTACATTGCTGCTGCTGCTGCTGTTGCCGCTGCTGCCGCTGCTACTGCTGCTGCTGCTGCTGCTGTTGGTGCTGCTGTGCCTACTACTACGGTTGATGCTACTGCTCCTGCTGCAGTGGGTGGTGCTGCTGCTGGGGTTGCTGCTGCTAGCAATTCCAGCAGCAGCAGCGAAAGCCCCGCCTGCGCCAACTAAGCAGGCTGCTGCTGTTGCTGATGCTGCTGCTGCTGCTGCTGCAGCCGCAGCAACTGCTCCAACTAAGGACACCTTTATTTGCTGCTGCTTTGCAGCAGCACGTGTGCTTGTTGCTGTTTCTTCTGCTGCTGCTGCTGCTATTAGATTTGCTGCTGCTGCTGCTGCTATTAGATTTTGATGCTGCTGCTGCATGGGATGCTGCTGCGGTGTGCGTATTGTTGTTGCTGCTTAGGCAGCGCTATGGAGTCCTGGAGCAGTTGCTGCGGCTGCTGCAGCAGCAGCAGCAGCATCAGCAGCAACAGCAGCAGCCTGCATTAGTTGGCGGAGGTGGGGCTTTCGCTGCCACACATTTGCTGCTGCTTTTTGCTGTTTTACGTTTGCTGCTGCTGTTGCTGTTTGGTAGCTGCTGGTGTTTGCTGCTGGTGTTTGCTGCTGCTGTGCATTTGTTTGCTGCTGTTTGTTCGTTGCTTGCTGGTGTTTGTGTTTGTGCCTGCTGCTTGTTTGGTGCTGCTGCTGCTGCTGCTGCTGCGGCTTGTTGGTTTGCTGCTGCTGCGTGTCTGTTCTTTGTTGATGCTGCTGTTTGCTTGCTGCTTGTGCTGCTTGTTTGCTTGTTGTTGCTGTTTGTTTGCTGCTGTTGCTGCTTTGCTGCCGTTGCTGCTTGTTTGCTGCTGCTGCTTGTTTGCTGCTGCTGCTTGTTTGCTGCTGCTGCTGTAAATGCATCTGCTGCCTTTTGGTTTTTTGTTGTTTATTTAATTAATAAAATAAATTATTAATTTAAATATATTTATTTAGTTGTTGTTTTGTCTGTTTTTTGCTTCTCTTCTTCTTTTAGGGGGCCCTGTGCTCTCTCTCTTCGCCAGGCTCGCAGCAGCCTTCCAGGATGCAGGTGCGGCAGCAGCAGCAGCAGCAGCAGCAGCAACAGTTGCTGCTCCTCTAGAAGCAGCAGTAGCAGCAGGAGTTGCGAAAGGGTAGTCGCAGCAAGTGCAGCAGCAGCAGCAGCAGCAACAGTAGCAACGTGTGCTGCTGCATCTGTATGGTTTGCTGCAGGTAAAGAAGTGGGGACGGAGCTCCTCCAGCTGCTCCCTAACCACTGCCAGCAGCACCAGCAGCAGCAGCAGCAGCAACAGCAGCAGCAACAGCAGCAGCAGCAGCAAGCACAGCAGCTGCAGCGTCTGCTGCTGGAGCAGAGCCCTTGGCAGGCAGAGACCCCAGCAGCAAACAAAGTGCTTCGGAGGGTTGTTACTGCTGCTGCTGCTGCTCAAGTGCAGCACGGCGTCCTCGTGGACGTCGCGCTGCAGCTACTTCTGCCGCAGCACCACAGCAGCAGCAGCAGCAGCAGCAACAGCAACAGCAACAGCAGCAGCACCAGTACCAGTGGGAGCACCAGCAGAGCAAGCGGCCAGTTACGCGTTGCTCTCTTGCTGCGCAACAACCGCAGCAGCAGCAGCAACAGCAGCAGCAGCGCTGCTGCTGCCTTTGCAGCGCTAGAAGCTGCTTTGCTGTCTTTGAGGGGCTGGGAAGTATATGAGGTGCTGCTGCCGCCTCCTGCTGCTCCTGCTGCTGCTGCTCCTGCTGCTGCTCCTGCTGCTGCTGGCATGAGCAGCAGCAACAGTGAAATCTCAGCCGAGGCTGCCGCTTCTTTGCTGTCGTTGCTGCTGCGCCGCAGCAGCAGCAGCAGCAGCTGCTGCTGCAGCAGCAAAACGTGAGGCCCCCTGCGTCCGTCTAATATTTTTTATTTGCAGTCAAATAATAATATATTTTATGTTTGTAAAATTATATTAAATTAATAAAATAAAATAAATAAAATAAATAAAATAAACAAAATAAAATAAATATATAAATGTATAACTCAGAAGGCCTAAGTTTATCTGTCTCTGCCTCTCTCTGTCTCCGTCTCTCTCTTTTTCTTTGTGTCTCTGCTTCATGCAGAAGCAGCAGCAGCAGCAACAACAACAGCAGAAGCAGCAACAGCAGCAGAAGCAGCAGAAGCAGCAGCAGCAGAAGCAGTAGCAGCGCATGCAATCCCTCAGTGCTATTTACATATTCTTTTATGATATCTCTTTAAACAAACAAACAACAGCAAACCCTATTCATACACAAACATAGCACAACCCTCAGGGGGCCCTCATCAAGGGGCCCCCTATAACAGGGGCCCCCCATAGAGGGGGGGTGCTATACAGTTGCCGCTATATAAAGAGGGTCCCCTATATCACGGGTCCCTATAATGTGGGGCCCCTATAATAGGGGCCCCACATTATGGGGGGCCCCTATAACGGGGGCCCCCTGAAGATCCTATAAGGCTTGCAAAGATGCGGGGGCCCCTTAACGGGGGCCCCATTATAGGGGTCCCAGAGGGGCCCCTATAATGGGGCCCCCCTGTGGCTAATCTAAGGGGCCCTCCCGTCGTGCCCTTTTTAAGGGGGCCCCAAGGGGGCCCCCTTATAGGGAGTGTTGCTGCAATGAGGGGCCCCCTATAATGGGGCCCCCCATGGGGCCCCTAAAAGGAGGCCCCCCTGGGGCCCCTACTATGAGTGTGTCAGTAAAGGGAAGTAAGGGGGCCCCATGGGGCCCCCAACTATAAGTGTTACAGTGAGGGGGCCCCCCTTGGGGCCCCTATAAAGGGGGCCCCCCTGGGGGCCCCTATAAAGGGGGCCCCCCTGGGGGCCCCTATAAGGGGGCCCCCCTTGGGGCCCCTATATATAGTGGGAGAATGTTATTGCATTTAGGAGGCCGCTAGAAGTAGGTGAAGGAGATGAGTCTTTTATTTTATTGTTCTTTTGCTCTGACTTCGTGTGTATACCAGTACACAGATATTTGCTGCTTCTTTGCACGCGTTGCTGCTGCTGCTGCTGCTGCTGCTGCTGCAGATACCCCAGCCTTAGACCCATCCCCCGGCTCCCCAGCACCAGCAGCAGCAGCAGCAGCAGCAGCAGCAGCAGCAGGAGCAGGAGAGCGTTCAAGGGGGACAACATGCTGCTTATACTCACCAACAACCTCTGTCTCTCCTCCTATGTTCCAAATGCCTCTACCCTGAGGCTTACCTCGATAAAATAAACCTACATATTTGCTGCCGTCAGCCCACAGCCACTCCCCCCGCACAAACTCCCCGTCGACCCAGTCACCCCGCAGCTGCAGCAGCAGCAGCAGCAGCAACAGCAGCAGCAGCAACAGCAGCAGCAGCAGCAGCAGCAACAGCAAATGATGCATCAGCACCATTACCAGCACCATCATCAGCAGCATCATTAGCAGCATCATTTGGAGCATCATTAGCAGCAGCATCATTAGCAGCAGCATCATTAGGAGCATCATTAACAGCAGCATTAGGAGCATGAGGAGGAGGAGGAGCAGCAGCAGCAAGTACTTTTTGTTTGCTTTCATTGAAGCAATAAACACCGGCACCGCTGTAGCGTCCTCGTGCCCAACGTCCATAGTAAAAGTCCCCATTCGGAAATTGTCGCGTCCCCACCCCACACCGACAGTCGTCAGCAAAGCTTCCTGATCAAACCGGATCGTGCAGCAGCAGCTAATGCTAATCTTGCTGCAGCTAATGATGCAGCACCTAATGATGCTGCAGCTAATGATGCAGCAGCTAATGATGCAGCAGCTAATGATGCAGCAGCTAATGCTAATCTTGCTGCAGCTAATGATGCAGCAGCTAATGCAGCAGCTAATGCTAATCTTGCTGCAGCTAATGATGCAGCAGCAAATGGTGCAGCAGCTGATGCAAATCATGCTGCAGCAAATGATGCAGCTGCAGAAGCAGTACTAGCAAATGCAGCAGCAGCAGCAAATGCAGCAGCAAAGCACCACCACCACCACCTCCACCACCACCACTAACACCAGCAGCAGCAGGAGCAGCAGCAGGAGCAGCAGCAGCAGCAGCAGCAGGAGCAGGAGCAGCAGCAGCAGCAGCAGGTGTACCGTGAAAGAATCCACCATTAGCGAATGTGATTTTGCCGAGGCCTTGTTTTTTATTTTGTTTGAAGTTGCCTTCATATTTATCACCGTTCGGGTGTACATACACCCCAAACCCCTCTCTCTGTCCTTTTACAAGCTGCCCTGTATATACACCTCCGTCTGCATACACTGCGCAGCCAGAGCCGCTGAACGACCGAGGTGAAGAGACAGCAGAGCCAGAATCCTTTGTTATCACTACGCCTTCTCCTTCCTTACACATTCTCTTATGCTGCTGCTTATGATGATGATGCTCCTGCTGCTGATGCTGATGCTGCTGCTGCTGATGATGATGATGATGATGATGCTGATGCTGCTGATGCTGCTGGTGTTGCTGATGCTGCTGATGCTGCTGGTGTTGCTGCTGGTGCTGTTAATGTTGCTGCTGGTGCTGCTACTGTTGCTCTTGCAGCTGCTGTTGCTGCTGCTGCTGTTTGTTTGAGTGGTGATATCGTAGAGACAAACAAAACCTCTTTGTTGCTAGCCTCGCTGCTGCTTCTGCAACTGCTGTTGCTGTTGCTGCTGCTGCTGCTGCTGCTGCTGCTGCTATTGAGGATTGAGCGGCTTGGCGTCCCTTCTTCTCTTTTTGTTTAGTTGTCTCTGTCTGTCTTTGTTTTATATTTGTTTGTTTGTTTGTTTGTTTTTCTTTCTGTCTCTGTTTACATATTTATTATATATATATATATATATATTTATCTGTTTATAGATTTATATATTTATTTTTAGTTTATTTATATGTTTATTTATATATTTATTTATTTATTTATTGTTTGTTCGTCTCTGTCTTCTTTTAATGCGTTTGACTTTTTTTTTGTTTTGTTTGTTTTTAACTCCTCTTCGTTTTATTATTTATTTATTTATTTATTTATTTATTTATTTATTTATTTATTTATTTATTTATTTA